TCATCTCATTCACTTCTATTCACACCATTTCTTACGTCCGTGTTACTGACTTTTGGTTTATGTTTTCCTCTTCGGTGCACTTTATCTGGACAGTTTAAGGAATCGGGAAATGCATAGAGTACTTAGGAAACGGCATGAATAATTGTTTAAGCTAATTAACACTAGGTAGTTGTGACACTACGCATCTGCAGTGACAAAGCTGACTGACTGAGTTTTAACATGGAAATGAGCACAGAAGTGTAGCAGTTCGATTTGTGACGTTCCACACTTGAAAAATATTATATTTGGTTGGTAATAAGCAAAACATATTTCATCAGATGTGTTTCAACTTCGCATTTGGGCTACACGATAAAATTAACTAACTAATGAGATATAACGGGACAGAGTGTGAGAGTTATCTCGGGTAAGAGGAGAAATTATTGTAAGATCACTTTTTTCAGTTAGACAAGAACTAAATGAAAAAATACGATTACCATTTGTTGACATTTTGCCTATTTTTATCCACGTTTTAGCATTTCATTATACCTGGACTATAGATCATTCTGACAGACTGACTTTCAACATAGAAGCTTGCACACAAGTGCACCCGCTTAAGTTAGCACATTCCATGTAGCACACAAAGGTAGAAGAAAAAAGAAATTAAATGTCACTATAATGAGCATAAATGTGATGAAAAACAAACAGTCATATGGAAAAAATATAAGGGTTGCTCAGATATGTGAGATTACATAGAGTGAATGCATCTGTGTCATTAACAACGTTTGGAATCACATTTCTACTTAACACTAAGCTTAACCCCAATATTACTCACCATATTAGACTACTTAACACAGAAGAAAGGGTACAGACACTACGATCAAAAACCAGTAGTCTTTTCATATCTTCCAGTTTCAATGGTCACTTATCGCAGCCTAAGTGGACAATACCATCAGCATACACTAAGTTGACAAGACTGTTCCCTGGTAAGGGCCTAAAGTGAGTAACAGACAATTCGGTTAATACATTTATGATGAAATTGAACTAAAATAAGGACGACAGTTGTAGAAATGAGCCTTGTACTACATCCTTCTTTGAAATATCAGTTCCTTCATAGTTTAGTTTCAGTAATAAGTGAATGGAATGCAGTCTACAGATTCATGAAATTCGCATACTGACGTACTACTTTCCTAGAATCCTAGTTGATGTCTCCTCAGGAAAGTGGGAAATGAGCATTCCACTTGCGTAAACTCAATAGGCTGTGAACTGCTGACAATGAAAACGACAACAATTTTTGGTATTACTTAATTCCAAAAACGATCACATAATCTTTTATTCCGACTTCTGGTTCCATCAGATGAAATTAAAGGGAAGAGCTGAGAATAGAGGGGATGTTGAGGGTTAGACAGTATAGATTTAGACCATTTCTCGCATGAGTTTAGATGTCTTTTAACTAATGCATTAACGAGTTGACTAAATGGTACACCACTTGCCCTAATGACAACCTTAATACCTTGCACAATACGACATAGTCGTTTTTGAGTAATTCAGGAAAGAATAAGGGGGAGCAGTAAAGACCAATGCAAGAGTTAACAAGTTGTAAAAAGAGAGGTTGAATGATTCCTGACTGTCTTGACTACATAACATGGTAAGCTAGACTGAAGAAATCGACAAGATATAGAATGACCAAGAAAGACCAGAGGATAGATTTACTCCAAGGTATTTTATGTTAGACTTAGTTTCTGTTTCAGTGCCCTCTTTGATACAAGCATCTTGTGAACGACACAGTTCTTGCAGTTCACGCTTATGAGTGAGGGGAAAGTTAGCTGCCTGACATTTAGAGGGATTTAACGCAAGACCACGTACCTTAGACTACAGACAGGAAGCAGTTAAGTTTGCTGCAGTCACATTGTAACATGACAGGAAGTGAGACGGTCAGATCACCAGCGTATTTGACGAAGTTGCTCTCATTAGAAAGAGAAAAGTCATGTAAGACGAGAGAGAAAAAAGAAAAGGAGTGATAAAAATAGCCTGAGGAACACCAGCTTCAGCAAGCGAGGCGGAAGATTTACCCTAATATACAGTATGCTGCATTCCATTTGAGAAATGATAATGCAACCAATCAACTGCCCAGGACCCAAGTTTGCACGATCGAAACCTTATTCAACTAAAGTCATCTAGGCGCTGAGTCAACAACAACGGCGAATGCTGAATGACCGAAAGCTAAGCACAAAAGTGACAAAGCACAAATCCAGTTGCAAAGTAGGAGACGAGTCCCGGGTGGAAGAAGAGATTACTGAAAGGTATCTATTTTTCATTTGGCAAAGAACAAGATTAAGAACTACACTTATCATTTGTTGAAATTTTGGAGATCATTTATCAATGTTTCGCATTTAGTTATGCCCAGACTGTGTCATTCTGACTAGCTTTCAGTATGAGTTTGCAGAGAAGTCCACCTGTTTAATTTACCACATTTCATGTAGCACACAAAGGTAGAGACATAAAACTAAATGGAAGTTTAACGAGCGAAAATGTGAGGGAGAATAAATAGTGACAAGGAAAAACATGAGTTGAATAGATACGTGAGATTACACAGAGTGAATGCACCTGTACCAGTACCAAAGATTTGCAGTCACATCTCCGGTAGTTCTTCCAGCTGACTGTCAACAATTTTATGAACCAATATCACTTTTTCATTTGACCGACCCAAACACGTTTTAAACCTTAACATGTGCTGGCTAGCATTGTCCCTGGAGAAAGGCGATGGCTTTGTATGCCATCACGTGTTCTAGCCATCTCAACCTATTCAGCTTCCCTACCTTGAAGACTAACCCTGCCCACCTAAACATTTATGCGTAACCTCAACAGCACTCGCCATATTATACTGCTTTACTCATGAGATAGAACGCGGACACCTATAATCAAACACCGGTATTATTTTCATATTTTACAGCATCAGAGGTTACTTCTCATAGTCTAGGTGGACAATATCATCAGCAAACCGTAAGTTGATGAAAATATTCCCTGATAAGTTTCTAAAGTCAATTACAGACTATCCTATCAATATATGTGTGATTGAATTGAACTGATATAAGGATGACAGTTTAAGAATTCAGCCTTGTATTACATACCACTCGGAAATGTGTTTTCTCGGATAATTCGCAAACAGTATTCAGTGAATAGAAAACATTCTGTAGGCTTAATGAAACTCGTAAACTGACGCACTACTTTTGCAGGCACTATAGTATTTCCTCAATAAAGTGAGAATTGAATATTTCGGCTGCATAAAACGAGTAAGTAGTATCCTGGGAATACCAATGACTACAACAAGTCTAGGAGTTATGCACTACAACTTTTACTTTACTGAATACACCAGCAGACTTTACATAAACACTTGACAGATCAAATTTATACAGGAAGTCAGTAAGATTTAGTAAACTAAAAGTGCTTTCGGTTTCCACAGGAGTTCTCCGTGCCGAATTTATTCCTTCAAGGGCCTACAGAGATTAATTCTTCAATTAAATACCACTGACGTGGAAGAAATTCCATTCTTCATTACTACACTTAATGAAAAGAATCATGTTTTTTATTTTAAAAACAGGAGAATTCGTAATGTTTTACTTTATGTAAATGCAGTTACATACAGTTGCACTAAGAACTCAACGCAACTTGTCAATGTAGTTGAAGATTGAACGATCAATTCTTGGTTGTTTGTTCAAAATCAACTTCCCCAATTTTCGCGGAGGCATCAATACGACAGTCATCGTCTCATCGGTCGCTGTTCAGAAAGAAGAGTGAAACATCGTCAGAAGTAATACAATGATTTATTATTGTAATATTTGTTTTCAGACCTTAGTTCGCTTATTCTTTTTATATGTTGGTGTAACAATAAAGAAATATCAAGCGGCAGATCGGTGTTTTGGTTTTTTCGTCCGTTATACCGTTATAACTAAGCGTTTCCGAAATCTTCGAAGAACAGCGTGGGCCCGAGCGTAGCGAGAGCTGGGCATTAACGGTTTATGAGACGTGATTGACACAACTCGATACACAATAGTATATATACAAATAAACTGAAAAATAATGTCCTCCTTACCTTCTGAACAACTTTTCCTTATTCCAGGATTACAATTTTTTCACCTATGAGCCTGAGTTATGTCTACGAAATCGCAATATTACATCAGTTAAATCTTCCCCCAAAACCAAGGCCACTTGAAGCCAATAGCAACATAGCAACAAGCGTCATTGAGGGGATATGCAATAAAGTCGCTCTAAATAATGGCTGAATTTTTTTCAGTGGCTAGGAAGATCAGGTTTTCCAGTTGGATAATTCAGAAAATAGGTATTTTCTGGTTAGATTAAACGCACATGGTATTGAGGAAGCGCGCACCTCCAATATATTCATTCTAATATTATTTCCTTTAGGAAACATAGTAATGCGAGAGTTCCCGATTGGACAAAAACTGGGAAAACCGTGTTAAAGAGGGGTCAAAATTGGAACATTCCATTGAATGAAAAAGTGCCAAAATTGGGTGATAGTAAGATTCTCCCTTTCTTCCCAGATATCGCACATTGCCCCTTTTTTGTCACATTCCCCCCCCTTTTATACGTCATGATTTCCCGTAAATCAGCAGAATGTCCCTGTTTTACTCGCATAATTTCCGCTTAATCGGCAGAATTTCCCATGGTTTACCCTCTTTGTCCCATTCAGTCGGATTTTTTCCCCTTTTGAAGTTAACCACACCCACGTTTTTTTCCACGTTTTCCCATAAATGTCCGCTTTTTGTTCACACATTTGTCCGATTGGGTTTAAGTTGATTTCCGGTTTCAGACAGAAGTATTGAATAAAAAAGCATGTAGGTTTTCACAATGGTACGGCCAAATATTTTAATAATTTGAGCTTTTAAGTCACTTCATCGTAGAGAAAATTTGTTTTAAATAGTTGAGTTGTGTCAGCACCTTCAAGGTGAGTTGTCAGCAAATTTTCGGATCCTTAGTCTGATGCTGTGAAACACAAGGTACATTTGATGGGTAATTGTGCGAGAAAGCACGTATCTGCCTCCCTCACAGACAAAAGCATAAGTGAACACAATCTCCCTAACATTCCTGATCCATCAAAACAATTAAAAAAACCATGTTCACGATCTTCGGGACAATTAGACAGTTGTAAATCGAGCTCTATCAAATCACTTCACAGTAATGCAATTCTACCCGAAGGCAAATCATTAACTGGACACGAAAATACTGCGTCTCGCAATTCTCGTGAAAGATTCACTGGGAAGGATATAAACTCAGGTAGCAGGTCGAATTTATCAACTCCCAAAGCATCCATTAATAATATTGTACCTGGTAGCCATTGTGGTGAAAGCATCAAGGAAGCTGCGATTACTGCAGGTTTTCACTTGCAGAGGTTAGCCATTGAAAATTCGCCAGGAATTGTTAACTTATCTCAAACTTCAGCACGATATAGTGGCGACGTTGATAATTTAGATAGTCAGCTGTCTGTTAGTCCAGTTCATTGGCATGCTCAGTTTAATGAGTCATCAGATGAGAATATTCTGCACAGTTTTCGCACACCCTATAGTACTAATATTCAAGTACAGTCTCATTCTCATTTACAACACAACTCCTCATCCAATATGATACCTTTTCTAATGAGTAATAGATATTCTCGTAGTGGATGTGCCAGTGCTACCCGAAGTGCAATGGAATCGCCACTCACAGTAGATTCAGGAACTCACAAATCTGAAAAACCATACAGGTCATCTGTTGTTGTTGACTCTGATCGTCTGAAGCATCTTGAAAATAATATAGCGGGTTATAATGGAAGAACAGTGAGCACCACTCCAACAACGTTTTTAGGAGAAATTAATTCTGACCACCGGTCTTCAACTGGGGGTTTGTCAGCGCGTTATCTTGTCCATCAACCCTTCTTTTCTTCGAATACTGGCTCACCTAGTAGACTCAGTTTGGCTTTGGGTGGTTTAGTTGCTAATTCAAAAAAGTCATTGTCTGTCACACAAGATAATTGCAAGACCGGATATTATCATGTGGCTATCTTTGACTATGAAGCTCATACAGCCGAGGAAGTTAGTGCGCGTAAAGGTGATCAGCTGCGAGTTTTAGACTTCAGGTAAGTATTTCATTTCGGTTACACATTTTTAATAAAATTTATTCAGCATTTTCATATTTTTATCCCTGTATAGTAAGGTGTAAGTAATTTACTTCCTCGACTGATAAGTTGCTTGCTTTTTGTGTGATTCTAACGCTTATTTCATCTAACTGGATAAATAGATTACGTCTGTATGACTCAAAAAATATACTTGGTGGAAATGCATTAGCTCAAAGTTGTGTACAAACAGGCATTTCTACTAGTCAGATTCTTGCTGTACCTATGATGTGGAAGAGTGGATGATGGTGATATAAAATGGAAGAACCGTATTGTGTTAAACAATCATTGTAATTGCATGTTTCCTTTTTGCGGAGCACTGAATGGAAACTGGAAAATTTATCTGTTTATTCAGCTTGTAGCTTCTTTTGGGTGGTAAAATCATATGGAACTAGCCAAGTTATTGAGAAATTGTTCAGCAACTTGACGAAACGTTGATGCATATTCGTAGTCGATCATGATCTTTAGGAATAAGCAGTGGTTTTGTATGCAAATTTGAAAAATAACTACTCATAGAGTTTTTATGGTGAGTTTGGTTAGCCGCTTACATTCAAAATATTTTTCTCTTAACACATCATCTCTTCTCATGATTGGTGTTTTCCACCTCATTGATATAGTCTTATCTCTATTATCCAATGTTAACCTGAAATTTGGTAGCATCAAAAATCTGAAAATGAAAACATGCTGCTTCCTACTTTTTTGTTTTGGATATGCTATGGTCTCACAATAGGCCTATGGTCTCTACTTTTTGAAAAAATAATTTGAAATACCTGTTTTCGTCCCCTCAAAGACAACTTAACTGATTGCTTGTTCTAGATCAACTGTATTATTAGTTAGTTTATCGTATCATACTGTGTAGCTCTGAACCTTTAGTGATGAGGCTATAGAACTTAAGAAAACCAGTCATTGTTTACATGTATTGAAGCTACCACGTCATTATTATGTACAACTATGTTTACAGTGATAAAGGTGGCTAAATTTCACCTCAAACTGTTTGTCTCGAAAACACTTGGACCAGTAATGTATACCTGTGCTTTACTCTACATTATACTTTTTAATCTTCTTTAAATTATATTCCGTTTCGATATGGCATTCTATTATATTTGACCTTACTGCTTTTATTCAATAGTTTCTTCATTTACACCTTTCACTCGATATGAAAATGATAGTTGTGCCAAATCATACTAATAACTTGTTTGTGTTTCAGTGAAGAGGTCAGCTTTAAATTTTTTACTTTGTGGTCTCATTTATCAGTACCTCGTTATCTCTTATTGAAAAGTGAATAGCTTTGTGATGTCACCTTTCTTTAATCGGTTACCAGATTATTTCGTGGCAACTATAACATTATGATATCACTATGATATTTATTTATTTAAACGCAGAAAAAAACTTGGTACAATATGGCACCAAGAAAGATGCGCCACACTAAATTTCATTTGTTGTGTGAGAGCTGAGATACTGTCCGGGCGCCCAGACGATCATTATGATATGCCTCTGAATAATATGCATATCATATATATATATATATATATATATAAGATATCCTGTAAGTGTCTAGTGCCTAAATACGCAGGCATAGTCACATTCAGACCCCATTACACCGACATCCCACTAAATAGAGCGAGTGAAGTGGATAAATGCTTTCTTAGTATTGAAGTATATTTGTTGAAAAGCTGGAAAAATGTTTGCTGGTCGGGTTTTTAACATTAACCGGCCATCAGCTTTTATATGTCTTATTGAGTTATTAATGTTTAAACGCGATGAACCAGAACAAAAAATTGTAGATTTTCAATGATTCCCTGAAATACTCATTCGATTGTTTTTCCGAGGCATGATAGTCTGCTGTAAGTTAACTTTCCACAAATCCTGTCACTAAATACTTGTTCTCAGCCCACTAGTAACTTGTGTCAAAATAAGTCCACTGAAGTGCTGAAATAATACACCGCTTTTTCATGTCAGTCTTTGAAATTAAAGCTGAGAACCCCTCATAATCATATTTAACGTATATCACAGGTTGACCGAAAGAGTAAAATTGTTAATGTTCATCAATCAGTAGTGTATATACTGGAAGATATGTAGATTTTGGATCTTATCGCGTTCAAAATAAACGCTACTATCAGAATAAATTTCCCTGAGTAATTGTCCATTTAAATTTAAACCTAAGTGATAGTTATTTCTGAATTATTTGATCCTTGACAAAGTGATTGTGTAAGTAGTTTACCAATTGTGAATATATGAATTCAAAACCTAAAAATTCGCGTTTATCAAAGTATTCATAACACACTAAAGTGTGTTAAGCAAGTTAACCTAATAGAAATGGCATAAGGCTGGTAGTAAATCGGTAGAGGGCGGAAGACTTGGTAAAGGAATTTTTACTTGGAATTTAGTATCTCTATATAGTCAAAGTATGTACGCCTTATCTTGAACGCAGCATCTGCACATATCTTCTGTGTTGGGCTACTTCTGTCCTACCTTCGTGTTGTGTCCTTTCACTTGTCCCATGTATCTCCAAAACGCTGTATTATTTGCTTTCTCTAACATGAAATGTACCTCCTTGCTATTTGATGTTTGTTATGCCGGTGAACATCTCTTTATACATTACTGATAAATCTTATCAGTAGCACACACCACTGAACGTCTTAAAATAGCTAGAAACACTGGTTGTGTCTTAATAACGATTGTCTTTTAATTTTTCTAAACGTCTGTATTTGTCAGCATGAATGATAAGGTTAACAGCAAGAAGAAAGTTACTTTTTATAATTTGTAGTGAATTTTTTCGAGCTCGATGTTGTTATTGTTCTTCGTTTGTTGTTTTTCCCTCTTCTGATCAGAATTGTGTTACTTTGAAAATATTTTAAAATGCAGCTGATTGTTTTATAAAACCACTTGTCTGCGATTCAGAGAGGCACAAATTATAAAATAAAAACCAACCAGCCTTTTTCATAGAGTAAGAGAAACTCTGTGGTTATTAAGAAAATTAAAATAAGTTTCTTTGTTAGTTAATATTTAGCAGGGAGTTACCAACAACGAAAAAATTAAAGTAAACTGAAGAACTATCGTATCCCGAATTAAGATCCACAATAACACGGTGGTCGTTGGTGCCGAATCTCATATATATCTCTATATGTACACCAATAATAAGTTTCTATATAAAGCGAGACAGCTTTTGTATGTTCTCTGATAATTTTTGCACCTAGAAATAAGTTAAATCACTGCAAATGTTAATATTTGGAACATTTAAGACAAAATGCAATCGGGTCTATAAAGACTATTCCCCTTGATGAATTTGCATAAGTCAAGAACAGCACAGTAGTGTGTGCAGAATAAGGCGATAGCATCACTGTGTATTTCGTTGGTTTCTCATCAACTGCTACTTACAGCCTAAATAAATTATTATGAATTTCATGTACACTAAAGTTTTAACATACTTGCAAATTTTACATGATGTCAGTTGACAGGAGGTTCCGAAGTTAATGAACACTGCTCAGAAAATTACGCTTATATACTTTTTACACAGACGGTTCAAGTTTAAACAGTAAATGCGTGCATACAATGGTAAACAAGTTACGTAATAAAGATGAGAGATGCATAAGATAATGAGTAACTAATAAATTAGGTAGCAATGTACTGAGTTCAACTCATGTTATAGACACAACAGACAAGCACAATTACACCATATCCAACGTTGGGGGGGGGAGGTTGAGGTTAAAGTCTAGGATTACGTAATCAAATGAAAGAGAATGAAGACAACCAATGGTGGTTAGACATTTATTCGTCTACTCTCATGTGAACTAATGCTTGGTGAGGGTTACTATAGTAATACATGTTTTGTCATCTGTGTTTGTTTTTCAATTCCACTCGAAAGAATTATGTATACTGAAATAAAAGGTTTGTCTAACAAAACAGAATAGATTTTAAAACACTGTTCCAAACGTTTAGATCCAATCTCTCCCTTCTTCAGTGTACATTATCAGGTATTACTAGTCATTCAAAAATAAGGCGATATAGACCATAGTCTGCATATTCTGGGTTATTATTAAGTTGTATCTCAAAAGACACTGATCTATAACGTTTGAGTTTAGCTACAGCTTTGAAAGACACTGAAATGTTTAAACAGTATGTTATACTGTTTATACTGTAATATACTTTTACTGCTACGAATTAGTTTTTACCATATGTCGGCATTATTTAAACTGAAGTACCCGGAACAGGCTATGAGCCATACTTATCTCTTGAAGGGGCCAATCATACTATGCTTTCGTCTAGACTGAAGAAGGTGAAACGGGATTGCGACCCCTGAAGCCAGTGGCCAAAGGTTGAGTTCTGAAGTTGATGAGTCACAATTTCACACCGAAATGAGTTGGAAAGCTTTAGAATTCTTTACAATGCATATTCTCTACTTCATGTGACATTTTTAGTGAATTCTTAGTAGATCTCATATTGACCACTTTGCGAGCGTTTACAAGTATTGATAAGAAATCATAATCAGTTGAAATTGAGAAGAGTTATTCACCAATGACTTTAGACGATGGTTGTCCTGCATCACTTAGTGACAGAAGCTGAAAAATACAAAACATTGAATTCCTTTCGGTAAAATTACAAACTAACAGTGTATACTGTTGCACAGTTAAAAAAATAAAATACCATTAATCAAGGAGAATGTAAGTAGAATAATAATAATCAATTGAGAATCTAAGATTAAAATATGCAATTATAGAACAGTTTTTTTTATTCCATTACATTCCCATTGGGACATAGGTCTTCAAGCTAGAGGCTCGAAGTTTCGGTAGCGGTGGTGTCTATATTTACGGGATGGGGTTGCTAGCCTCATACCCGACCTCCCCTCTTTACTAGTCTTATTACTGGCATCGCTAAGTGAAGGAGTGCGTCGGCTGGGGATCGAACCCCAAACCAAATGCGTGGTCGGCGAACATTCTACCGCTGTACCACCGACGCATTATAGA